CCATAGCTCGCTGAGCGACCTTGAGCTTCCTCATCCGGCCAACAGGGAAGGACCACGTCTCAGTTCCGTATGTCATCACTGGCAACACGCACTGATTGTACAGTCTCGTTTTCAAGTTTTGAAGTATACCTGACGAGAAGATGTGCCGTAATTTCCCGAACGCTGCCCAACCGAGTTGAATCCGTCGATTGACCTCTCGGTCGAAGTTGGACTTACCTAGTCGGACTATTTGTCCCAGGTAAACATACTCATCACCAACTTCGAGCTTAGTGCTCCCAACAACTACCGGCATAGGTGTGACATGGACATTAAACATAATCGTTGTTTTGTCCATGTTCATCTTAAGACCTATCCGTTGGGAAACACTATTGATCACTCCAGCGATTCTGCCATAAGGACTATATCGTCGGCAAATCGAAGGTGAGTGATGTACTCGCCATTGATGTTGATACCGTATCCTTTCCAGTCCAGAAGCTTGAAAACGTCTTCCAATGCAGCGGTGAAGAGTTTCGGGGATATGACGTCACCGTGTCTTACACCTCTCTGCAATTGGATAGGTTTCGTACTCTGGTTCTGTACTCGGATAGCCATCGTAGCCATACTGTACAAGCACTTCAGCACTTCGATATACCGACAGTCCACTTGGCACCGCTGAAGGGACTACAGCACCGCCCAAATTTCGACGGAATCAAAGGCTTTCTCATAGTCCACATACGCCAGACATAGTGGCAAATTGTACTCCTCTGACTTGTACAATTTGCTGAAGGGTATGTATGTGGTCTATGGTGTTAAAGCCTTTTCGGAAACTGGCTTGTTCGGGAGGCTGGAAGTCGTCAAGTTTGCGTGTGAGACGATTCGTAATGACTCTCGAAAACAACACGTAGACGCGGCTCAGAAGGGAAATCGATCTGTAGTTCTTTAAGAGAGCGTTGTCGCCTTTCTTGAAGAACAAGACCACCGCACTTCTGCTCCGCGCCTCCGGTGTAATGCCACCATGGAGGACGGAATTAAAGAGCTTCTGAAGGATTTCAAGTACCGGTTTTCCATCCGCTTTCAGAAGCTCCGCTGTAATTCCATCCTCGCCTGGGGCCGTGCCGTTTTTAAGGTGCTGGAGAGCCATTCTAATCTCGCTCAGACTGACGTCCGGGATATCATCGGAATAATGTTGGATAAGACTCGCTCTTGGATCGTTACTCACACTCGCGTGTGGCTCCAACGATGACGTGTACAGCTGTCCATAGAACCTCTCAATCTCACTCAAAATCTCAGGTGCCCCGGAAACGATGCTGCCACATTCTGTCGTCAGCTTTGACAGTTGGCTCTTTCTGGCAGACAGATCTCTGGCAAAGACTTTGGAGCCTTGGTTCCGCTCGATCGCTTCTTCAATACGAGCTGTATTGAAGTTGCGTAAGTCCCGCCGCATGCATTTGGAGATCTGTCTGTTCAGTTGCCTGTCTGCTGTCAAATCTGTAGAAGAATGTAGCTTCATCTCCCGTCTAACAGCCATGAGATTAAGAGTGTGATCGGAGAGTTTTTGTGTTCTTCTGCGGCGGGTCTTGCAGAAGTTAGCTCCAACCGCATGGACAGTTTCCACGAGCTTGTCATTCATATCGTCCACTTCATTGCAGTCTTCTAGGCACTGACAACGGTTTTGTAACTCGAGCTGAAAGGTTTCGGGTCTTTGGATTAGAGCACGAGGGGGACGGAGCGTTGACGTCATTAGACGAGACCTCTCCAACTTAACGTTTAGGTTCAGTGTGCTTCTAACCATTCGGTGATCGCTGCCGGTTTCCACCCTCGCGATCACTGAGACATCACTCAACAGTTGTCGTCTGGTCGTCATAATGAAGTCAATCTCATTTTTTGTCGAACCGTCGGGGCTCGACCAGGTCCACTTCCTGTGGGGCCGCTTCTGGAAGAAATAGTTCATCATAAAGAGTCCCTCTTTCTCCATGAAGTCGGCCAGCTGCTGGCCCCTTGGGTTCCGTTGCCCTATTCCAAATTTCCCTACTTTCAGCTCACCATTCTTTCTTGTGCCTAGTTTTGCATTGAAGTCTCCCATTAACACCGTATATTGGGTTTTGGAGGAATGCATGGCTCTGGAGATATCCTCATACATTTCCTCCACCTCCTCATCGGGGTGTGCCGAGGTTGGTGCGTGAACCTGTATGACCTTCAGCGAATACCGTTTGGTGATTCTATTTGAGTATAAGGTACGCAACCCTCGTCGACACACTCAATCTTTACAACGTTGTTAACGAGAGACTTGTGGACGATAAATCCGACGCCTCCTTGGGACAGTTGGTCGCCCTCCCGGTAATAGAGCAAGTTGCCGGATTCGAGGATTACCGTTTCCTCCCCCTCTCTTCGGACTTCGGATAATCCTATAATATGCCAGCGTAACTTGTCTATCTCTTCTTCCAGCTCCACAATCTTCTCGTCAGTCCTCAGGGTGCGTGCGTTGTATGTTGCCAGGTCTAGTCGTCGTTGGTGGCAACCGAACCTCCACCGGAGATTCTTAGCACCCCCTGCCCCGCCGTTACCATGGTCGCCACCGTAGCCAGGAATAGCGGGGCCGCCGGTGGACTCGGGGCCGTCTCTTAGTAACTTTATCCATTTGGGGGGTATTTGCCATAGTTGTCACGCTTGGCGAGCGGGTTGGCAACACTTTATTTACGAACATAGAATTATTACGTATAGAATACTAGTACGCGCACCGAAAGTGAAGCAAGTAAAACTAACGCGAAACCGCGTAAGTTCACTCAGCGACGCGTTAGTGCGCAACGTCACGTCTTACGGAGAAGAGCTCGCGAAAAATTGTAAAAATTACCGTTTTTGTTGCAAAATATTGTCACAACAGTGATGATAAACATAAAAGAAATGATGATATTAAATTTCTAAAAAAAAAAAAAACTAAAAAAAATACTTACCTAAGCTATCATGATACAAATGTTGCTAGTTGTGGAGAAAACAATTACAATTTTCTTTCAAAAATATTTATTTTGTATTTGTGTTTAAAAAGTTTAATTGCAACGCTCTGTGTAAAACTCAAATGTTTATATATTAACAATGGGTGCCTACTTAAAACTAATACGGAGTGATCAGCTAATCGCGATTCGTCGACGCCATTTTAACACAACTATTTTATTTTAATATCTTTGTTTATTGACTAAGTCGACGTTTTAGAGTATAGAATAAAAACTTTTTAATTTACAACATCGAGGAATTATTAATAAGAACGCATTTACTAACCAGATGTTAAACCGATTCCCAAAAAGGAGAGGTTATCAATATGTATGTACACTGATTTTTAAGACGATTCTAGATCAATTCGTATATACATGCTGAAATTTTAGTGGTTGTTGTCCCGCAGCCAAATTATACTGTCTCGTTAGTAGTCAATTTATTAAAATAAAATGTTAATTAAATTTTATTGTAAATCTGCCCTTTTTTATATTTTTTATAATTTATGATTTACAATAGTAATACCTCACAAGCTAGTCGGGCGTCCAGATTAGTTTTTGTCCTATCACTACGCTTGAGAGTTCATGCCCTGAACATTTATTAGTGGCCCTTCACTGTGTAGGCAGCGCGCGGTAGCACGTGCGATAGACGTTACGTCCTACGTTACGTCGTCTACGTTACGTCCGTGACTTTATTATAGTAATACGGTATAAGCTAGCCTGCACGCCCGATCTACTTGCGAGATATTGCTATTGGTTTGAGATCGCATTCGAGTTTTGTTTTTCTAGATTGTAAATCTGCCATTTATGAATCCTATTAATTTTTATTTTAATAAATCTATTGTACTACCAAGACAAAATCATATGACTTCGGGAAAACAACAACAAAAATTTCAGTGTGTATATTAGATCAATCTATATGTATATCTCTTCAAATAAATAAATCTAAATCGGTTTAGAAATTGTAGAATTCTGAGGTCAGAAACATTTAAAAAATACACCGAATTGATAACCTCCTCCTTTTTTGAAGTCAGTTAAAATTGAACATTACACGATGTGCTTATTTTATTCGAGCAAATTAATTGTGTTTAATAATATTCTTAAATTTATTTACATCTGCATTTTCGTACTATAAAAATATGTATAATAAAGTTATATTAGTACCATCATTATCGTGTTTATTTTATTCCATTTTACTTATATTCTCATAAAATACATCTTCGTATGTAATATGTAATCTTTATTATATCGATTATTTAAAATTAATCAATAAAATAGTGATTTGCACAATTTGATTGCAAACGCCAGAAACTGGTATCACTGAATGGCGTGCATGTGTGCGTGTGACGAGCATAGGCACATACGCCTCGCGCCCACTAACATAATTACCTTGCGTCATTTTAACGCTCGTGTTTTGTACTAGACTGCGTTTCTACTGGGTAATAATTCTATGTTTACGAGTATACTGAAAGTGAACTCTATACTTTGAACTAGTTTCATGGTACATAATATGTACATGACAACAAAAACTAAAACATGTTATGCTATAACAGATATCATTTGTTGTAGCTTAACATGTTTTTGTTTTATTATAAATAATTGATAACCGTGAAATATGTGTGAGATAAGAAGAAAACGTTGTTTCTATGTTGATACCGCGCGATAAACAAATGAAGAACGTCGCTTTGTTGACGTCTCTTAGCATTTGTGGCAATAATTAAATAACAAAAATGGTACATACATAAGCGACTTTATATTTTATTAAGTTATGTTTTTGCGCTTGTGCGATGTTAATTTGAATTGCTTATATTAAAAATTAATAGTGTCGTTGCTAGTGCATCAAATACTTAAAGCATTTTTCAATGATCAAATAGTGATGATAATATTTTTTTGTCTCGAAATCTGAATATGTAATAAGAAATAAGTTTATATTTTAATAAAAGTGAAGTTTAGACAGGAAACGATTTAAGGACTGGTGCATTTAGTAACTTATCTAGTAATATATTAAGGTATAAAGTTTTTATTTTATTTATACAGGTTGTCTTTAAAGCTCGTGGCTTAATGCCTCCCGTTTTCACACCACTGAACGACGACTATACAATTAATTATGAAGTGATTCCTGCTTACGCTGATTACCTCACAAAGGCTGGAATTAAATCAGTTCTTGGTAAGTAAAATCATTACTTTAAAAAAAATATTCTTTCCTATAAGACTTCAGTATTCTTCTGAACATTTTATTAGAGTTGTGAGATGAATAATGATATTAGGCACTCGCAGCGAGAATTCGCTTCGTCTGACAGGCTATTCGCTGCGATTAGATTCATTCGCCACGAGTTGAATTCGCTGCGAATTGAATTGAACATGTTCAATTTTACTCTCTGCGAATGAGCACTCGCTGCGAGAATTCGGTGTGTGTGACAGGGTACTCGCTGCGAGTAGCCATTCCGCTCCAGACTACACGCCTGTGCATAGGTCGTTTCGTTCCTGCAAGATACATGTGTGTGTAGGTCAATCAAATGAGTTAACCGATAAACGATTCTCTAAAATCGGAAATTACGATATAATTCGTTTCTTGGGTGTGTATAGAAAAAAAATGGGGAGCTATTTGACACAAATAACAGTAATTTAAAAAAAAACGCAACGTAAGACACGTTCATTGTTTAACGAATTAATTGAGTTGGGATTCGAATTAGCAACCCAAGATAGATTGAAAAGAAAATTTAAGAATATAAAAGATACATATTATAGATAATTCTCGTGTAGTACTCGCCATGTGTGACAGGCAGGCAGTGAATTGTCGCTGCGAGTAATATTCGCAGCGAATTCACTCGCAGCGAATATTCGCCGTGTGTGACCGAAGCTTAAGAGAGCTTTTTTTCCAAATATCAACCTCACTCGCAAGCGTTGTGATTATGTTATTCACTTTGCAGCAGCAAGCTGTTCAACTGACCAACCAAATATTAACAAGAGTAAAGATTACGAATTTTAGAATCTAAGTAGTTTTATTTAGATGCTAAAATTAGTAAAATAAATTTCGCGAGTTTTTAACACCGCCACTACGGCAAACAGGTTAGTACTGGAGAGTAGCAATAACAGTGTGATGTCCAAATCCAAATACTCAAAGGCTATTCAATTTTAAGACGTCGTGCTGTCACAGTCACTTTGACTTAAAGTGACAGAGACAGCACGAGACTTAACGGCATCTTATTTGAATATTTGGGTATGAATCTCACATACGCTTCCACCCAGCTCAGTGAGTATGGGCAACGTTTTCAAGAAATGGTTTTTGATTTTCGCTCTTTTTCCAGGCAGAGTAATCGTATTTTGAATGGACCTGTACTGTCAAGTCTATTGACCTGTACTGAAGCAGTGACGTACTGCTTCAGTACAGGTCAATAGACTTGAAATAGCCACAAAGCGTATTTTAGATTACCTTTCAGACATTCATTTACTAGGTGTTAGGACTCGTTTTCTGCGGAGGAGTCGGTCTGGGTTGGGACCACGACCTCTTACCTATTTCAGCCGCCTGATAGCAGTGCGTGCGTGTTCTGGTCCCAAGGTTATAGAGAGACAGTATAATTAAAGGATGCAAGGGTGTTAGCCATTATATCTTTGTCCACAGCTTTGACTAAGTTTTAGTAGTACTTATCTAGTGTTTACTAGTGACTTAGCGGCCAGCCTCCGCAGAGTCTACTTCACCTGAGGAAGCCTCGTGTAGAGGCGAAACACGTGTCGTATTTTCGAGAGTGGTGTGTCGTGCCTAGTGTGCTGGTGCTGGGGGTGGTAGTGCTGGGATTAACGGCGGCGGGTATAGTGCGCGCGATTGAGGGAGGGTGGGAGGTCCCCTTAAAACTGGGCAGGACACATCATTTTCTTTCTTTACGCGGAATTAAGCAAATTAGTTTATAACAACCCCATTCAAAAGTTCCATTTCTTTTAAAAGTTTTTGAGCGTATAGTTCATCGACAATTGAGCCTCTACTTAGAGTTGTGGAGTCATTTCAATTCTTTTCAATCCGGTTTCCGTGCTGGTCATAGTACGACTACTGCCTTAGCCAAGATTACAGAGAATATTCGTCTTAGTATGGTAAACAGCACGTAACAGTGTCGACCTTACTTGACTTTAGCAATGCATTTAACAATGTGGACTTTGATCTACTGTTAGCTATCTTAGCTTCTCTTTTTAACTTAGCTTCTCTTTAGAAATATAATGTTCCAATCAAACTATATTTTTATTAGAAATAAGGTGACAGACGAGTCACGAATACGGTTCCTACGTCGCTACGATTTTGAATTCGCAGCAACCGGACAACGGCGGATTCGCATAGACCTCGACGAGCTACGTTGAAAAGTAAGAATAACATTTTTCGATGTCTAGCTTAGTTTCCAAGATATCGATACACAAAAATTACTTTTTTTTACACAGGAATATTGACCCAAAGTTACTTCTGCAACGGCTTCAGCGCTGCGGGATGTGCAGCCTCATCGCCCTTACGTAGCAAATCACCTCCGCAGCTTTGATTTATAGCCTCAGCCTCTACCCGCTACGGCTCGCACCATGGATAATATACTATACAGGGTAGCTCGTACATTGTCTGTTATTTGCTACAGCGGGCGGGAACTGCTCTCCCTCCGCGCTTACGGGTTTACAAAACACTCTAGGGATGGGGCAGATAAGACTACGTGGAGTTGGGGCGTGTTAATTCGGTTTTAGTGTTCGATTTTTGAGATATTCCGATATCTCGGTAACTAAGCGAGGTATCGAAAAATGTTTTTCTTATTTTTCGGCGTATCTCGTCGAGATCTATACGAAACCGCCTTCAAATCGTGGCGCTGTAGGAACCGTAGAAGCCCTGAAAAAGACAATTTCTTTGTGATATTCTTGTGACATACACTATCGACATATTTTATTTATTATACATATTATTTAGACAGTCTATCGATATATCACTAATTAATTACCAATTAGGTCACAACACTAGCGCATTCCTAAGCCCTGCTAAAATGACTTCAGGGTTTCCAAATTCAAACCGTGACGCCGTAGGAACCAACACAAACACAAACGAACACAGTCTACCTGATAGTAAGTGAATGATATGACTCGTACTAATCTACATCGATCCTTTATTAAAAATCAATACACTAATATTAGGTATGCGGTTCTCGTCCACCATACGAAACACAGCAGCATTATGATGCTGTTTTACACTGATGTTCTGTGCGAACCTGGTACTTTCCCAGTCGAGTCAATCAATTTTTACTGCAGCTATAACTGCTTAGCTTAGCTGTATTACATAATTTTTTTATTAGCAAGAGAACGTTAACATTTCATCACTTTCGCAGTGGGAGGAACAACGGGGGAGCACATGTCCCTGAACGTCGCGGACAGGAAAAAGGTTGTGGACGCTTGGGTAAAAACTGCCAAAACCACTGGATTGCACATTCAGGTGCAAGTAGGTGGAGCACCATTAGCTGATGTACTGGATTTGGTAAAGACAATTTATTTCTCTCTTTCGGCGCGTATAATAATAATAAAGCTATGGATATCTCAAAACCACCAGATTTAAAATAATCCATTTACCCATCTTGCAACATGTATTATTGTATTGTATTTTCGGCTACATCACCACTTAATATCAGGAGGAATAATAGTGAAGCACTGGTTTTTATAATAGTGAAAAAAAAATTATGCCACAACACACACGTGTAATGTTTTTAAAGACCTATTAAAGCCGAATTTCCCATAATCACTATATTTTGCAAGCAGATTGGCTGATCTCAGTGCTTTTTATCGTCTTATGCTACTGTTCTTAAAATAGGCTTGATTAGGTATTAAAATGCAACTTGTCAGCATAAGCATTATGGGAATATCGTAAAAAATATTTTAGTAGAACCCTTTTCACTTAGTAGTTACCTTTTCAGTTAGTGGTTTTAAAATACAATAAAGCAGTTGTCCATATTTATGTTTTAGGCGTCGTATTGCGAGAAGGAGGGCGCGGATTCGCTACTGACACTCCCGGAGTTGTACTTCAGACCGCAAAATGTTAACGAGCTGGTATCTTACGTGGAGCTGGTGGCAAAGGCTGCTCCCAACCTTCCTGTTCTCTATTACCACATACCTAGTATGAGTAAAGTAGAAAGTGAGTATGTTATATTTAATTTTTAATTTGCTAAAATTGACCATGTTATATGTGGTAACTTTAGCCCTGATTGAGCCTTTTAGAAATTCATTTTGCCAATTTTTTTGATTTGTTGGTATGATAGAACAGATGTCAGACGCATATTAAACAACTGTTACTTAGAACGCGAGGCAGCTGTACATCGATACGATTCTATACGAATCGCCCGCCTCACGACTTTAAATTTCGAATCATGGTGATGAAGTCTATTACGCCGTAAGCGGGGCTTTTATAAATCTCGTCAGCAACTTATTTTAAAACATTTTTAATAGCCTTTATTGCCAACAATTTTTACAAGGTATTAAATTAATTCCCTTGGTGTTGCGGTTGTTCATGTGCGGCGGTAGTCACTTACCATCAGGTGAACCCTTAAACCAATTAATAACCTAAAAAAATTGGTTGAATGGTCTAAGGGTGAGCCGCGTGCTGGTTTGCGACACAAAGGCCTCATCCATCATTTTTCTCTCTTCTCTTATTTTATCTGCGATGACAATATGGGCCCGCTATTTTTTTTTCAAGTCATCAGACCATCGTTTTCATTGCCTTCCTTTTTTTCTTTGGAATCTAGGAGTCCATTCTGTTATCTCCTTTGCCCATTATACTTGGGTAAAGTAATTGCATTTTAAAACATATTTTTACATAAATTAGACTTGCCAATTCTTATAGACAGATTTTCCTAACCAAAAAAAAAAAACTTTGATTATAAGTATTTCAATAAAAGTTATGTACAATATACCATTTTATTTTTATTTCTTTATTCAGTTAACATGCCAGCATTTGTGACTGCAGCCACGGCCCATATTCCCAACTTCAAAGGTATCAAATTCACGTCAAACGACTTGAGCGAAGGCGCCCAAGTATTGCGGGCACTTAAAGATGACCAGGAGATATTTCTGGGTGCTGATACCGTAAGATACTTTTGTTTTTATTATGTTTACCCCAGATTTATATTAATTGCTAATTGATAGATGTGTAGCATATAAAATTGGAATTATAAATGGGCTCGTTTATGTACCGTGTGACTGTCAAGACTCATATCAAAATTCATACCTCACTAACTTATCTACTAGTGAGTCTGTGACTAACTATAAGTAGCGGCACAACAGTCTAGCGATGACCGATATTGCGCATAAGTCGCGCTGATTGGCTCTTGCGTATCATACGCACGCGCTCATTGCCTCTCCAGTCGCATTCGTGTAATTCAATCGTGAGCCTCCCCTCCACGTTTCGTTCAGCGCTAGACTTACGTGCCGCGAATTGTACTATTAGTTTTTAAGGCATACGATACGAATATTTGCAATGTAATATAATCGTCATCGTTTAATTCTGAAAACTTTAGAAAATTCTTACATTGCTGTCGCTAAATGACGATTGAATGTCACTTTAAAAAATCTAATTTATTATGCTTTAGCTGCTTGCGCCCGCAGCCCTTCTAGGAATAAAATCCAGCATTGGTACAACTTGGAACCTGTTTCCCCGCTTAGCTCAAGACATACTGGACGCTGTGGAGAAAAATGACGTCGCAAAAGCAAGGGCTTTGCAGGAAAAGTTGAGTTTGGCGATCGAAGCTCATACCGTTGAAGGTATAGTCCAAAACATGAACTTTGAAAGGAATAATTTATATTCACTTCACTAATATAGCTTTTTTACATCTACCACAAGTCACGTTTAGAAATTTTTGCGCAGTTAATAAAGCGTAACCGAGGTAAATTTTACGGCTTCCTTAAGAAAAGTGCCGTAAATCGGATTATTTGCATAATTAATTAATAAGCAATCATGTTGCATAAACAGTTGAACAACTTAGAATATTATATTGATAAAATCCCAACTTTAAAATGTATAAGCCTATTGTATGTAAGTATCTTAATTTCCTACAACCGGGGATATATTGAGACCTCTCTGAAGGGACAAGCACATATTTAAAAGAACAGAACGACAGAAGGAAGTCTATATAGTTTTCTCCTGTTTTTCAATTCGTTATTCTTCATAACCTAAAACCGTTTGCTAATTTACAAAAAAGTAATTGTTGTCAGAATTTCCTATGTTTAATCTGTGTACTTTTAATAACAATTTTATTATTTTAATTAACAGTCAAACAAAATGATAAATTTTATGTACTTATGATTATAAATATTTTTTTATTTCAGGCGCATGGGTGCCTATAATGAAAGCCGGTATGGAGATTGTTTCTGGTATTAAAGTGGGTCCACCTTCTTTGCCCCAGAGACCAATAGCAGAAGAGGCAAGAAAACGAATTGAAGATAGATTGAGGAACTTGCGAATTATCAACTAACATTTTTCATTTATAATAGAATATGGCTTCTAATCGCTTAATATAAAATATTTTATTTTATGATGATGTGTTTAATAACTAAAAGTAAAAAAAAGAAACGTTTCCGCAATTTTATATTGTTGTCATAAACGACAGTCGCTAACGCTAAGAACAAACTTAGCCTTAAGTGCATTTAAAAAATTACGTATAACATGATTATACGCAAATTTTTAAAGTAGTTTAATTACACACAAGTTTTCACTAAAAAATCTTATAACTATTACTCATTGAGTTATATGTACTACCTACATTGAGTTATATGTACTAGTACATATAATTCAATTACTACGTACTAGAGGAGCTATTCCAAACAAAAATTGTACGCTACTCTATGTCTTCGCGCATGCGCGGGAGATAGTAGAGTCGTGCATGCGCGAAGAAATTTAATATAAAATAAGATATTAATATAAAATAAATATAAGAATTTAATACAAAATACTCTTATTTTAATCCAAACAAACATATTTCTAAATAAAATGTAATAATAAGTATCTTATGGAATTCACAAATCTTCAAATTACGCAATATTTAGTTTAGTGTACGGATTGCAGTACAGTTCAGTTGAACATAGTCAATGTTCGGAATGCGAAATCTAGTGCGTAGTACATATATATCGATGCTATTACTATACTTCCAATTTTCTGATAATTTTATGCCAAATTTCAATTTAAAAAAAAAGCTTGGAAAATCCAAAATTGCATGAATCATAAGATCGTGAAAGAATAAAAAAAAATTGTAAATTGTAATTCCATTCGTCAAAGAGTTCCAGTAGCAGTCATCGAAGTACACCATCAAGTCCGTTGGTAAGGTCTATTCATAACTAACAAAACAAGGCTTAACTTTGCACACCTAGAACGATTTGCAATATGGTAATTTGCTTGCCATGACGTCCAGAAACAACGCATATTCTTCACCTTATCGTGACAATGTTGTGGCCACAGCATATCTTTATACGAATACGTAGTATCCTCTTTGACTATGTATTGGCGGTGTAAGAATTTCCATTACCCTATATGATCCCGTGGGTGTCGTAAGACGCTTGCCAAGCATGGCAATTATGACAAATATCCTCCCTATGTGGCAATCTATGGGAAGGCCTATGTTCAGCAGTGGACTAATGGTCTGTAATGGTAACGGCAGTATTCTCATAGTGTGTGATATAGGATTTGTATTGCCCACGACTAATAGAGATTATTTGTGTTCTGTGACACAAGAAGCTTGGTGCCCATAGCGTTCTATGGCGTATCCCCTAGTTATGTACCGTATCCTATATTACTACGTTTTAGTCTGTGGCTACATGTTTATTAATCTGTGGTCGAAGTTTTGGCGGGAACTTGACCGGCGGCGGATTGCTGCTCTTGAATATTATTGTTTAAATAATAGTTTGAAGTGGATTTTGATACGTAAAAGTGGTGCGATTTTGTGTATTAAATGTCTGCGCATGTGAACTATTAATGGAAACTGAAACAAGTGCTCCGATGGTGATGTGAATCTGAAGATAAGGTGTCTGTCTGCTTAGGCGCATTGATATACTATCGCCGACTGTCTGCCGGCTCAAGAGGCCGTCAAAATTTCTCAAAGGCTGCGCAATGTGACGCAAAATATAAATAAAGGATTATTATCACTTGATACCATAGACTTAAAATATAACATAGACTTAGAATATACTGGCGTATAGACCAACATAGTGTGCAAGGGAGAAGAAAATTCCTTATGGCAAAAATGCAAGATAGAAAACTATACCAAATCTCATGACCGTAACCGATTTTTAATGACATATCGGCACGCAAGAAATAGCTCCAAGATATTATGTAATTTTTTAGAGTGTAATAGTGGTTATTTTTAGCAAGTAACATTTTTCCAAAATAGTTACTTGTTTTGTAAGTGACTGTAGTGTTAATAATAGAAATAATCCTGATAATTGCACATTTCAAAGGTCAAAATTCTCGAGACGTCGTCAATATTATGACGCGTTTATTTTTGGTTAAAATTTATGTTATATATTGTTTAAAATATAAAATGTGTTCAATTATTTTGCAAAGAAAAAAGTCACGTTGTTGATAATTTGCATGAACTTGGTAAATACATTTTTATACAAAATATTTTACATGTACGCTAAGGATTGACTCAACTATGTACTCCGTGTCCCCGTTTTTTATTTTCCCATCAAAATATTTTATAAAATATACATATAAAATATAAATAGGTATATACTTAGTTGATTTTAACGGCAGAGAGGTGAAAGACAGGGTGAAGTTATGTCCTCGAAACTCTTCACCGCTGCATTGGAAGACGTTTTCAAGCTTCTGGACTATAAAGGATACGGTATTAACATCAACGGCGAGTACATCACTCACCTTCGATTTGTCGACTATATTGTCCTTATGGCAGAATCGCTGGAGAACCTAAGCACTATGTTCAACGACCTTAGTAGTGCCTCCCAACGGATAGGTCTTAAGATGAACATGGACAAAACAAAGATCATGTATACAGTGGCGAAGCTAGGGCTCGAAACTAGGGCAAGCCCAAGATATTTTTTTGTTGTTTTTAGCAGTTTTATAAAAATTTACCTTTTCTCTTTTTCGATTTTACCTTTTCCTCGCCGATCAGCACTTTAAGACACTTCATCACAAGAAACATTATTATCCTCCATTTTCACTAAAAATCTATAAAAAATTATACATTTCCAACTCAATATTGCACACAGAGTAAACATTGGAATGTGAAGTTGTGAAGTGAACTTTGCAAACGCACGCCCCCACGCTCGACAACTTCACACTGAAAGCCCGGTTTCTGATCTCCATACTGATTGCTATATAAACAATCGTAGTTATATTTCATTATAGAACATGTTGTCACAAGTTAGAAAGGGGCGATCGTCTTCTCGAAAGCCCGGTATAAAGCCCACGCGTGTGAGAGAGACGACTAATTGCTCAACTCAACTCCTTTTTTATGACAGCAGTATCGCGCACTACAGCAATCTGCCAATTGTTGACGTTACATAATAAGTCTACGAGGTCACGACCTATGTAGAACAAAGGAGCGCTTTGAAACAGTTTACGAGTTATTTTATTAGTTGATATGATTAATAGAGCAAACCGGTCTTCTCGGCTTGTATGAGAGCTTCGCTACCGCATGTATAACGTCCATGTCACATCTATGCTGGTAGTTGTTGGAAGCACTAAGCTTGAAGTTGTTGACGAGTATGTTTACCTAGGGTAAATAGTCCGACTAGGTAACTCCAACTTCGAGGTCAATCGTCGGATTCAACTAAACTGGGCAGCGTTCGGGAAATTACGGCACATCTTCTCGTCAGGTATATCTCAAAACTTGGAAACGAGACTGTACAATCAGTGCGTGTTGCCAGTGATGACCTATGGAACTGAGACGTGGTCCTTCGCTGCTGGCCGGATGAGGAAGCTCAAGGTCGCTCAGCGAGCTATGGAGTGGGCTATGCTCGGAGTTTTTCTGCGTGATAAACTTAGAAATGAGAATATCCGCAGTAGAACCAGAGTGACTGACATAACCCAACGGATTAGTAAGCTGAATTGGCAATGGTCCGGTCATATAGCTCGAAGAACCGACAACCGATGGGGAAAAAAGGTTCTTGAGGGGTGACCTCGTACCAGCGGACGAAGTGTAGGGCGTAATGTTTGCCAATATGTCTTTGAGGCTTCATCATGCTTCATGTTTATATTCTTTCATCTGTCCCTGAAAAGTATAAAGTTATAATAAACTAATTATCATTTTAGCTGTATGAATTTTAAAAACATAGTGATCTTAACAAAGTAAAGTGCATCAAGTGTATGCTAAGAAAATGGTCACTCATTCAAAGACTGACCGGGGCAAGTGCAACTTAATCTCACAGATCTATTGATCCGCGCAGCTGTTACTAGTACCTCTTCTCTACGATTAACGCTGTAGGCGATGAACCACGCTATTTAAGCCCCCGACACAATGTCGTCGGGCATCAAGCATGAATCGGGCATCGAGAATTGTGTGTATCAAATACTATGGAATCTATACTATCCTGGCACATTGAACCACATTGTTTTGGCGCTTCAAGAGCATATTTTCAAGATTTCATTATTCAAGAGCATAGAATAAGGGTAAAAAAATTCAAAGGAAATACGAATAAATGAAGGTAGAATAGTAATGTCTCACTTGTTTTAGCATTATAAAGTATCGCACAGGCGACTAAGAAGCATCAGTCTGTAATTCTAAGCCGCGGCGCCCACCTAAGCTACATGATTTCGACATGGCATGTAGCATGATTCTGACGATGCTCTGACGTGACCACAAGTGACACTGCTTGCACCAACCTGTGCAACAATAGCACGTCACAGAATTTAGTTTGAACCAAAATGTCGCCTGTAGAGGATAAACGCCCTTGCTTTGCTACAGATTTCAAACATTCAAAGTGCCAGCAGAAGATTTTGAGTACATCCCTAAGGGAAAAAATTTGAAAAGTCCTAATTCCTTCATAAATTTTTACTTTCAATTTTATGAAGGAATTAGAATTACATTTCGCATAGATTTGCATTACAAGTTGCAAGAAGCATCTTGTGAGTTCCTGTTACTGTAATCGGGTCTAGTATGATCATATAAACATGGTCTTTCATGAACTAACTCAATGAATTTAATATTAAAAGCTAGGTCGCCTTTCATTTTGCATATAAAGTCACTACAAGTTTCGTGTTACGCGCCACTTCAACACGCCCACCTACGTTACGTAGGTGGGCGCCGCGCTTTAAGCGCCCACCTACGTAACGTAACGCGTGATCTGACGCGTAACTTGTCACTCGCCTCAACATTCAAAGGGATTGTATGCAGTAGCGCCCATTCGCATGGCGTAACGCCGCATGACCTGACGTGCCATTCAGCTTGCTACTAGTGACGTGTTGAAGTGGCGCGTAACACGAAACTTGCAGTGACTTGTCTATACAAAATGAAAGACGACCTAGCTTTTTTCTTTTCATGAAAGGTCATGTATACAATATGATTGTTCTAGACCCGATTACATTAACAGGAATTCGCAAGATACTTCTTGCAACTTGTAGTGACTTGCCTATGCAAAATATAATTCTAATTCCTTCATAGCATTGAAAGTACCACCACTTTTCAATTTTTTTCCTCAAAGTATGTACCCGAAATCTTTTGCTGACACTTGGAATGTTTGAAATCTGTAGCATAGCAAGGGCATGTTTTTCTTCTTCAGACGACATTTTGGCTCAAACTGAATTCTGCGATATGCTATTGTTGCACAGGTTGGCGCAAGCAGTGTCACCCGTGGTCACGTCTGAGTATCGTCAGAATCGTGCTACAAGCCATGTCGAAATCATGTAGCTTAGGTGGGCGCCGCGGTTAAGAGTACCACTGTCGTTACTATGCCTTAGGTATTGGGGTATTCTACTAGTGTAGGCAAGGAAGGTCGTGTTGTTGAGAGGCTACCCTATGTTACATTGAGATGGGTAGTGATGCTGTTGGTTTGCATACTTTGGTGTTATCATGTAATTTGGGGTCCTGATAGTAAGCAGGGTGTGTAACCGAGTAGTGTTCTTTTATTTAAATACTTTTGAGAATAATTTCTAACATCAGAAGTGAAATAGTTCCTTATAATATTATATCTAACTACGCTAAAAGTTTTATCATTATGACTTAGGAATATAATCTGAAGCTACGCGCAACCCCTTGGGGAAAATAGCGTGATGTTATGTATATTGCACTAGTGTGACCGTGATGTACGGGTGGTGAATTAAGGTTACACATTTTATTTGGTTGATAAATTGGTACTTGGGTTCATAATGGCTTAAATAGGATAATCTCAAGATTTTTTTATCTTTAATGTAAGTTAGGTACTACAGTTTTATAATGTATAAAAATCTGTCACTAATTTCATCTAAAGTTTTGAAAATAAATTTTCGAAGTCTTATTATAACAATATTATACTTACTGGTACGAATAATGTAGAAATGTAGAAATTTTTGACAAACGGCAAAATAAAATTACATTTATAGAGCGCAAACCGAGGATTATTTTCTTTTTTTTTTAATATTATAAGGGTGACAAACGAGCACACTGTCAACCTGATGGTAAATGGTTGCTGTGGCTCATAGACATCTACATCTATCCTCGATTACGAATCAAAATGTAGATGCGTTGTCACCCGTGAGGACTAAGATGAAATGCCTCGTTTCCAGTAAAAAAGGGTCTCCAGTTCTCTACACTCACCATACGAAACACAGCAGTGTTAAGCTACTATTTTACGCTGGTATTCTGTGAGAGCGTGATCCTTGCCCGGTCGAGCCGACCCATTCGTGCTACAACTATACTACAAATATAGCTGCAGCATGGCATTATTAACACCACAGTCACTCACAGAACAAGTAACCATTTTGGAAAAAAGTTACTTTCTAAAAATAACCACTATTACACTTTAAAAAATTACTTTCTATCTTGCATTTTTGCCATAAAGAATTATCTTCTCCCTTGCACACTATGTATATTCTAAGTTTCACGTATTTTTATACGTGGTAGAGCCATCTGGTGGACTGTGTGCTCGTTTGTCACCCTATCCTATAAAAAGTCTGCTTGATGCTGAAATAAATAAAGGCATAGCTTAAAGAACAGGCATCCAAACCAAAAATCTTAATAAAAAAATCTGTGGTTTCATATAAAAAAAGTAAAGTTCGTCAAGTTGAAAATTGAAATTGTAATTGTCTAAGAAAATCTTATTTTAATTCTCAAGTACGCATTTACAAACTATATAGTAGCGCTATAATTATTATTGTTTTACGCCCATACTTTTGTATTTTCGCCAGCAAGATAAACCATCGTTCCTTTTTAAATTGATTAGGTATCACTCTTTAACACTATATAATAAGAAGTACGAGCGTGCGTACATAACTTCAACATAAACATTTCCCGTAAAAGTAAGTTGTCACTTAATGTTATTTGTATAGTCAAAGGTAAACTTTAACTATGACCAATTGTTTTATTTATGTAGTAAAGTATTGTTACAAGAATATTACTAAACTGTGGATATTTACCATTGCATCACACCTATATAGTCCAAGACCTGGCGACACATTTTGAGCATGGATTGGACCCATCCAGTTATATAGCTCGTGTCGTTTATTTTTATTCTTTATTAAATTTTCAGCGTGGGTCATAAATATTTTTTTAAATTTTGGAACGAAGTTACTTGTCGCACGGCATGAATTTGTCAGATGGGGGTTAGGCTAGAAAAAGTAAGATTTTTCCGTCACGACTCCTCTTTCTGTAGTGTGAGTGAGATGGAATAATATCTATCTCCCTCGTGCTTAATTTTAGTACATTTTAGTAAATAATTCATTTATTTGTATTTGTTAATCATCAATAATATAATATTTTTATCAATAATAATATACTACAAAAGGAACTTCATTCCAACTGTGTGTTCCACGACACTATGCATGTTTTTTATTTTTAAAAATATCATTGGGCTGGTCTGGTTCCGTGCCACACCACTCAAATGATCTGCAATTGATATACTATGCTAGTTATTAATCGTCAAAATGTATTTAATAGTTTTATCTGTAAAAATTGTCTAAGTGCAATATTTAGACAATTATATGAACACAAAATCCATAGGACACAATATTACTGTAATTTTGTCCTATGTATTTTATCCTTATCTTTATTTATATTATACCTATGGATACATTTTATCATAGGATTTAAAAATTACCTCTTAATAAAATAAGTTTTATAAATGCATGAAAATCAACAACTATTGAAGCTGGTTATAATGTAATGCAAAATTCATCATCGTAATACTTAAATACATTAATCAGTTACTCCAAATCATTTAAAACATGGTAGAGCATGCTGCAGCTATATTAGTGGTATAGTTGTAGCATGAATGGGTCTGTTCGACCAGGGTAGGATCACACTATCACAGAATACCAGCATAAAATAACAGCTTAAAGCTGCTGTTTTGTAGGTGAGTGTAGAGGACTGGAGACCCTTTTTACTGGAAACAAGGCATTCCATCTTAGTCAATAAACAATATCTGGGGTAATATTGTGGAATATAATAAAAGTAATAAGACTTCGTCACGGTTAGCCATGTTGATTGATGTACGATCGTTGCACAGACACCACAGTGAATGGAGCAGTAGAGCTTCAGGCCGCCACTGTGACCGTGGTAGTGTGTTGTTGCAGCGGCTGGAGCCGTACCTCGCGGTTAGCCAGCACCGTGAGCCACTTGTGTATGGTAGATGCTTTATGCTATAAAAAAAAAAGTCATAGGCATCTATCCATTTGACTACTTCATTCACTTATATTATTTATGATAAATAAATAATACTAATGTAGTAAATTAACCTAATTTATAATTCTTTGAATAGTTCAGTTATATTGTACCATGGGTTGTAAAATAAGTTTTCTGTAGTGTAGTTATAAAATATAATTTGTTCTAAGTTCATATAGCAAGCACAGTGTTGTGTAACCCACCCATAGATGTAACGAAGAGCTGATGAAACAAGCAGGGAGTTGAGGGAAATAGGTGCCTCAGGATTGTGCATTGTAATCTATAGGAGAGACCTATGTTCTGCATTGGAATTTTGATGCTTTTGGGCTGTAATGATGACAAAAGGTTATAATAAGATATCAAGTGTTAGGAAAGGTTTAAAATTTAACACCCAAATGAGAGTTTGTGTAGAGGATTAATGGAATGACCACTATTGTCACCCACAGAATTAGGTACTCATTCTATTTAATATGTTCCTGTTGTAAATAATTGTTATTCAAGCAATTTAACCATTGCCAAGAGGCAATGTAAAGAGCACACAAATATATTAATAAAATTACGTACAAGTAAAAGGACATTTATGGTTTAGAAAATTCACTAGAGTAATTTTTGCAGATAAACACAATAGTTAAGCTTTACATTTTATTTCAATTTAAATAGGAATAATAACCTGAAATGTGGGTGTGGTGAGCGCAGAACGAAAATCCTAAGTGCATCTTCTCTTTGTATATGCTCTGAGAGTAAACTGAAAATGAATGATTTTTCAGGACAATACTTATGATAGATGATTAAAAGAATTATTTTAAAGTATGACATTGTGTTTTAAGGTTCTTCTGGTGACAAGACAGACTATTGCTATATCTAAAGTGATAACATTAAAATAAAGATGAGAAAGGAAGTTGCACTCATGCCTTCTTTAGAAGTCAACGTTCAACGTTTACCGGAGTCTGTGATAGCTGCTTTAGAAGGCCCAGTTGTAGTAAGTATATTATTGAACTAGTATTAATTGTCATTATCAACATCAGACAGTATGAAATAGTGAATTGGTAATTTTTAGGGAGGGACTCATAATGGAATCAAATGAAGAAAACTATGTTTTTGTGAGGCTTTTGCACTGATTCAATATGTAGTTTTGTATTAGCTTGTTCCATTGATCTTTTCTACTCATAATTGCTTTCCCGCACATGTATAGGTCTATGTGTGTATGCTGGATAGGTTAAAAGGGGCGGGATATGATGAGATTCCGGCTAGTTTTTGGTTAATTGTGCATTAAATTTAGTCACTCCACTACACTACATATTTTATTTTTCTCTCAAATCTGGAGATTTCCCCGAAGTCTGGAAGGTGGCTAAAGTTGTGCCAATTTACAAATCTCAAAACTATTTGTAACACACCATCAACATGGATTTACGCGGGGTAGATCTACTTCTACATCTTAGTCTACTTCACCAAAGAACTGATTCTAAGTCTATGGACAAGAACAAACAGATTGATGTTATTTACACGGATTTTAGCAAGGCATTTGATAAAGTATCTCATTGTCTCCTTCTTCGTAAGCTTTCAGGTGTGCATGATGCCTTGCTGGAATGGTTCAGTTCTTACCTAACTCACAGGTCTTTCTTCATTGTAGTTAATGGTTATTCATCTAAAATCTACAAAACTTCATAAGGAGTGCCACAAGGCTCGTACCTCGGCCCTGTCTTTCTTTTTCATATGCCGATGATCTTAAACTTTTGCGTGAAATCGATTCCATGGATGATGTGAATCTCCTGCAAGCTGACTTGGATAAGTTGGCGAGGTGGTTTCACAAAAACAATATGGTTCTCAACGCGAAAAAGTGTACACATATAAAATTCACGCGCAAACAGAATATTATAAATTCGTCATACCAAATCAATGGTGTCAAATTACGAGAAGTTGACAATGTGCGTGATTTGGGTGTGCTGCTAGATAAGAAGCTTAGATTTATAACACATTTCGACTATATTATAAAAAAAGCATCTGGAATGCTCGGTTTCATCATACGCAATACAAATATTTTCAAGACCTTTAAGATCAAGATGATTTTTTATAATAGTTTTGTGCGTAGCATTATGGAATACTGCAGTGTTGTTTAGAGGCTCCATTTCGCAACACATACGTTACGCTTGGAAAAGGTTCAGAAAAGGTTTCTATGGCACGTAGTGTAATGTTTGGACAAGCAGTAATTTAAACTCAGTGATGCAGTTAATAATTCTCTCTTTATTGGGTTGGAGGAGACTTATATATAGTGGTTGTGACGTAGGTACATAGGTAGGGGGCAGGGTTTGTGTTACGTGGTTCCAGGTAGAGCCACATGAATGGTATCTTCTTCTATAAATATAATATGATATTACTGAACCAAATAGATGTTATTTCTACTCCTTATATGGAGTCCACGTTGAGTGATGATATCATTTAATATTCCTGTTATATTGTTTTATCATAGTACCGACACCACATCTCCTTCCTTATTTAAAAAAATTTAAAATTCAGTTAGATTTTTTAAATTTTTAAACATATGACACTATATAATACTAAATACTTTCTTAAAACTACTCATCATTTTTATAATGTAATTATTATTACGACTTACATATGTCTTACACTTAATTTATATAATGATAGCTTTATTATAAGTTCTTTATTTTTAACTTTATATACTTATTATATAGTCGTGGGTTATACCTATACCACACCTCCCACCGACAAAAAAATAAAAAAATTTTTTTTTTATACTGTAAAAAATTAATCCTTAAAAGTAAATAAATAAAATTATTAAGTATAATATGTAAAATTCGTCTTGATTTGGGTAGGACGGCTGGCCAAACCTCCTAAACACATAATAATTCGTCAGTCACATTAAAAATAGTATGATGCATACATACAACATACGTATTTGACATAATTAGGTGAACATTCGTGAAGGTATATTATTTTGGTCGACACATTATTGTAACGTACTTAGATATTGAGTTATTTAGTCATTTATTAAGTAACTTACCCGGATACTCGCATTAAGTACTATCTACTCTTCCTTATATATTTTTTCACATTTTATACTATTAGTATACAATTATAATACTTTATACTTCACTTATTTATACCTTTGTATTTGATTAATCGTTACTTTTATGATCCACACAGATAGGTTATATATTAATACTTAACAATTTTTCCAGAGAACGATGACTTATAAAAATTAAAAGCATATGATTTATCACCGAAAATATTACATTTCATTTTAAGATGAACAGAACAAAGAACATAATGTAATGCAACCTAATCATGATCATAACAACAGAGATCAAAATACATCTTGCAACAGCCGCGTAAGCGGTTTGTGACACACCTTTGTTATAAAGTCCACAAAGCACGTATAAGGAAAGGTTTGAAATTACATCGTATGACACATACATAATATCTAATTCAAAATAACTTACAAATTGTTTTATTATGAGTACACTTAAAAGTATTTGAAAATTACAGTATCAAGCACTTTTTAATGTACGTAGTTAAGATGGTTACATGGCATTGTGTGTGACTTGATCTTAATTGAATACAGAGTTTAAAATATAAAGTTAAGTTTAATAAAAATAATTTAGAAGTTATAACAAAATATTTGTTTAACATTTGAAGACAATTTTTTTTTTTTTAAGTAAATATGTATTAACGTAAACTTAGGTTTGACTGTCTATATAGAGAAAAAAAAATATTATTAGATTATCAAACTTATAATAATAGAGTATCGATACGCTTTGGATTTGATTTTAGTAAGCAATATACCAAATTTTGTTTAAAATTGTACAAATTATTCATAAACAACAAAAAAAAATATAACACGAGAAGTTTAAGGTAGAGTTATTGTAACTATGAGTCAATGTGCATAAATAAAAAAAATCGTAAATTAATGTAAATCTACGCGAAAATGTATTTATCAAATTTAATTGGGGTTTTTTTTTTGTGTGGTTGTGTGGATCGTTCCTATAGTTACTAGATGTGTAGCTTCTAAGTAGCCTTTTGAGTAGGATTGTAGGTAATAATATAGAAATGCGAAATAACTACATAATATCTAACTTTTTAGATTTGTTCGAGGGATCCCTTTATTACCTCATTTTAATTGTTCTCATGTCTTTGCGTGTTATATATTTTCATAAATACTAACACTACTCTCATAATATCCTGTGTTTCGATTGTCAGGCCTTTTTTTCATAATTTTTGTACGTACTTTCTTTTATCTCTTATTTTTTTTTTTGACTTTTAGCTAGCTTTATATATTTATTTATTTATTTAGATACCAGGAATCGGAGTATTAATTCACTTCATTTATATTTTATTTCGTGATATTTATCACGCGGGTACTTTATAAATATGGGCCCCCCATTTACTTGGGTATTATATTTTCATTACATTCATTTTATTTTATTGGTACATATTTTTTTTTTATCATATTATATCAAGGTAAAACTGTAATTTGGGTTGTGCGCACAACCTTGAGGTCAACGTTTAAGTCATTTTAAAAGACTCCAACAATTGTCACGGAGGAAAACTAAGTTCACACTATGATCCAACGAAGGATGTGACCTCTATGTACCATTATTAAGGGTAACAAATTTAAGACTTCTCTGGTCCCCAACAGTACTAATATGAGTAAACTCGTTCACATCTCATTTGTACTGAAGGTATTGTTCCCTAGTACCCGTTACTCCCGATTTTATCATCCAATCATGGAAACATACCCTGCTCGAGGACTATATGCTTTACCAGTGATGGACGTTCCCGTATCTCTCCATTACTTATTTTATGCAGGTCAACTTTCGTTTTATTTCTATTTATTTCTTTACTTTATGGTACTTACCAATACCTCATTATTTAATAGTACCCAAGATTATGGACAATATTCCTATACAATTCATAATAAATTCTCATTTGCCTCATTGATAATACATTAAAAGTTATTCTACATTTAATCTTTTCCGAACAACCTTAAAATTAATCGGTTATTAGTTTTTCCAAACTCTCAGCTGATCAGGCTGATTGTATGTGGATATGCTAACCACCGACAATTTTCTTTACCTATGCCACACTTTCTACTTATACATCTATCAATATTTTTCACTCATAATGATAAACTCCGTAACTTATCCATAAATTTACTTACGTCTTTTATAAATTTATATCATATAGTCCCGTATAATATTTAGTTACATCATTGTCACTTAGGGGTTGAGGCTCACAATATGGGCACAACAAATTTTAAATTAATTAGGTACTTAATTGTCTACATAATATAATGAGTTTCAAAATCATATAAAGCGAAGAAAATATTTTCATAATACACGCAAGTAAGTACTATTTTCCGAGAAAATATTAAATTATAATAGTTAAAAGTTTATGATTTAGAAGTTCAATAAATGTAAAATCGAAAGGAATAAACTACATTTCATGTTATGATACAGAACCAAGAAATACTAACGGGAACATAAGTCATCATGATACAGTGATAACACCAGACAGATCAAAATACAAATTATATTCTTAACAGCAATTTGAGACACCTTTGTTTTAAATTCGAAAGTAAGTACCTATATGAAACGTTTCCGATTGCATCGAACTATGATCAGATCACACGGTGTGATTTATACCTAATTTTAAGATAACTTGTAGAATATATTATATGTAATATGAATGCAACCTTAAAATGAGATTCTAGGAATTTTTTTTTTTAAATTTACACAGAAACTTAGTTTTGTCGTTTATAGTTATAGTACATACATTTATTCATTGGCTCTAAAAATGTTAATTATATCACATACAAAAATTAATTGAAACAATCGCTGTAACGGCCATCGAGTTTACATATAAGAAAATATTAATTTATTTAAAACCTTGAAAGAAAAAAATAATTTTAAAATTTGGATTCCAAAAAAAATAAAACGACGAAATGTGTCACAGTCTTAGATTATATAATTTTATAGAATCTAAGGTCTCAGTGTTATTTAACTATAAATTATGGAGAAATCAAGTACGTAAAAAATGTAATCTATTATGGTATATCATTATTTCATTCATCTTTTACTTGACACAGTAATAAAATAATTAAAACTATAACTGAATGAAAGTGCATGTAAAGTAGTCTTGTGCCTTAATAGAAGTACCAAATAAGTGTATACCTAACTTAATTTATACTATTGCGGTATAGTTTTTATTTAGACAAAGTAATAAAACTAATAAAATTGCAATTGAATCGTTAAATGTCTGAATAAATATTTTCAACTTAATCAAATTATATTAAACACAGAATATTTAATACGTACTAACTTTAGAAAAAATATAATAGCAAAACAACATGAAAAATTTCAATTCTTAAAGTTTTGAATGGAATATCAGTAGATTTAATCTTATCTTCCTTTACTTTACTATTAAAATTTATTATAACCACTTTAAGTTTGGTATCTAAAATTTTTCCCTTCAGGTTAACTCGATGCAATTTTTATTAAATATGCCCTAACTTCTTTTAATTACTCATATAACTGTTCTAGAGAAATATTCATAACTTACCACCAATACGTAGAATACAGTACACTTTATATAATTTTACGAAATATATAACATAGTCAGGTGAAATTGCAATTGTTCAGTTCCTGCCTTATTGCTTCCCATTGTATTTTGCACAATCATGATCTCTTCTTTAGTTTGATAACCGCCCATGTTCTTGGTTGTTACTTTTCGTTAAGCGCGTACACCCAGTCACGCAGTTCAAGATAGAACACCATAACTCTTTATTTCTTCTTTGTTCTTTTTTGGCTCAATTTTCACATTCTTCTGGGTGATGCTCGCATGAATACAACTGCTTCTTTTCTTTTTAAATAGATCTGCCGAATCTTAAATTTTGATCATTGGTCATGATAAAAAAAAAAATCCACTATTTGTTTTCCTCCTTCTTTGTTACTTGTCTTCATAGTTCTATATATTATATATTTAAAATTTTCAGTCGGCTTCTATAAAATAATTATTGTGGCCTCTTCTTGTATTCATATTTGTTTATTTTTCGTCACATTCGGTATTGCGTCCATTCCGTTATAATATATATATTTTTTTTAAATTGTCAATCCTCTTAAAAACTGTCCATTATTTAATTAAGTTTTCTTATAATATTTTTTCTTCTTTTTAAATAGTAGGCCCGGCGGTGCGCGTGCATTGTAGCAGCGCACCGCCTGGCAGGGTCGCCATGTAATGTTTGGACAAGCAGTAATTTAAACTCAGTGATGCAGTTAATAATTCTCTCTTTATTGGGTTGGAGGAGACTTATATATAGTGGTTGTGACGTAGGTACATAGGTAGGGGGCAGGGTTTGTGTTACGTGGTTCCAGGTAGAGCCACATGAATGGTATCTTCTTCTATAAATATAATATGATATTACTGAACCAAATAGATGTTATTTCTACTCCTTATATGGAGTCCACGTTGAGTGATGATATCATTTAATATTCCTGTTATATTGTTTTATCATAGTACCGACACCACAGTAGCATTCTCTGTAGGTAAAGCTCGATCGCTTAAATCGTACAAAAGTAGGCTTCTCGCTTTTAATTTATTGCCACTTGAAGCAAGAAGTGACATTTTAGATTTAATTTCCGTATACAAGCTGTTCAATAATAAGATACACTGTCCTTCTTTGCTAAATTCCTTTTCCTTCAGAATACCTTCTCGACTTTCGAGAAAGCCTGTTCAACCTATGAACCCACCAATGCGTAGGACTAAACCTGGTCATTTTTCTCCTGTTCCTAGATTGAGTAGACTTTACAATGAATGCAGCACATCGGTAGATCTTAATTTTGATTCTTTAAAACTTTTTCGTAAGCAGATCAGGGACTTTATCACAAAAAAAATATCTTCTGTAATTTGTTAAAAAATAACTTAAAATAGGTTTTTGTGATTTTTATTTTCTTTTACATGTAAGTAACTTGTTATTATTAAGCACATGATGTGTTCCCCTATAAGTAGTTTTGCACTTAGTTTAAGACATGTTGGAACTTGTATTTTTTATTCAAACATATTGTGTTATAACTGTTGGAAAACCTAATAAATAAATGTGAAATACGTCTCCCGGCGATAGTTTCGATCACTACATGGTATTTAAAAAGTAATGTGCATCTTCCTTATTTTGAATTGCCTCCCCTTTACCAATTTCTATACAATTCTATTCTCGTCAATAATTTTGTATCAATTTGTTTGCATATGTTTAAACTGAATTTAAGCAAATTGGGTTTAAACTGAATATTTTCATTACTTTTACATTTTTGATCCTTTGAGTCGGATATGCTGACTCAGCATTATCTATTAAAAAATATATAATCGATCACTTCAAAATCGATCTTTTGTTGCTCTTATTCACTTTATTTATACTTTATATGTTGTATGTTGATTGTATGCTTTGTTCATAGAAAGTTTTTGTTATTCTTGTTAATGCAATATTTATATACAGCACTTCTGCTTTTTTAATTTATTTTGTTATTTATTTTAGAAACAAGACTACAAATTACTCCAGTCTCTGCCTGCATTAAATATGACTACCGTTGCAATGTTGTTGCGACGAAAAATCACAGAGAACTCACCAATGCCATTATTAGAAGTTGCGATAGAAAGGTTGCCAAAGCATTTGATGAGTGCATTTGTGTCCCAAACAAATGGACGCATTTTGGTATTTATATTTAAATATTTTATAATATTTTTATTTATTTATGCACACATAAAAAACACAGAAACACAGTGAGTTCATATATATATGTCTCACTCCTGGGCACAGGCCTTCCCTTATTCCTGAGAGATTTTTACGAGTTAGTGCATAGAATTTTCCACCGCGCTGTCCTAATACGTATTGGCGAACTTCACATATCTTTGAAGTATTTTTTATTAGGTATGTGGTAAATAAACACTTAAAATTGCAATAAATAATTTCATTTGTGCCTGCGTAGCTCGAACCCCTAAAAAGACCACTAAATATTTCCTATACTTATGTTTTAAGTGCAGAAAATGTAAAAAGAAACGTTTCACCTGCAAATAATCTGGAGATCAAAGTGTAGTATAGCCATTAGTACTGTGCCTGTTCTCACAAAAAAATTATGACACATCTTCATAGATACAACTTGATAATGTTGTTAGTAAAAGGCAAAAAAAAAAATTGTGGTAGAGCCATGCTGCCGGAATATTAGGTTGTAGCAAACAAATGAGTTGACTCGACTGGGGAAGGACCACATGCTCACAGAATACTACTGTAAAATAGCAGCTTTATGTAGAGAACTGGATATCCTTTTTACTAGAAATGAGGCATACCATCTTAGTCCTCAGAGGTGACATATTTATTCTTAATCGAGGATAGGTGTAGATGTCTATAGGCCACTGCTTCCACGATCACCTGGACTGTGTGTTTGCTTGTCACCCTTATTATAAAAAATAAATAAAATAAAAATACTAATGAACATCGACTACATTTAAGTAAAAATGTGGGCCTACAAAATCATGGTTTCCGGAAATTTTACATCTTTATTGTGCTTTAATAAATTGCCTGAATAAAATTCTCCGAAAATTGAAGTAAAAGTGTGTATAAATATAACTTATTTACCTGCAAAAAAAATGTGTTGGCACAATGAAGTATTTATTTTTAGATGCCCCTATCAGATATCAACATATCACCTGAGACATTACCAACATTGAAAGTGTCATCTGCAGCGAATGTTTTAAAGCAGAAGGTTGCATTAAAGAAAGCATTGCCTTCACTGGAAGTTACATTGGAACGCTTGCCAGAGGATTTGATGGCCATGCTATTGGCTCAAAGGAAAGTTCTATCAGTGGTGTGTATAAATTTTAAATTCTTTTGTGACTAATTGTAAGGTGACATTAATAATTCAGTTGGTAGAATTTATTAACATATTTGACTAAAAGTGGCCAACTTAATTGCCTACATTGATAGGAATAATTAAAGGTCTTATGTATGTTCAGTCATGCTTCAAATATCACATTACGATTTTACTTATAATCTATAATTATTGCTTAGTTGCATTAAGTATTAATTATATCTATACCTGTCTCTTTCCATTATTATTTAGTGAAATAATAAAGGGAGTGAGACCAGCTTTAGGCATTTGTTTAATTGACGTACCTTTTAACATGGGAGTATGTCAACCAAGTTTGGAATTGAAACTGCACTGGCAGTGTTCACAAACCATTTCACACTACATTCAACTGACCCACAAATCAAAAACTATTAAATATTAACTTTTGTAATTATGCATGACTAATAAGGCCTTAACCCTTTCGCTGTCCCGTGCACTATATATAGGGCACTGCTATTGTCTTACTATTGTGTCTGGAAACCGGACAGTGAAAGTGTTAATATTATTAAGACCTTATTAGTCATTCTTATTGGTAAGAAATGCAGGAAGTCGATGGATGCAGGTGGCTCAGGACCGTGCTTTGTGGCATTCCATGGGGGAGGCCTACGTTCAGCAGTGGACTTGTGAAGGGCTGTAATGATGGTGATGATGATGAATAAGATCTTGACCACCTAGAATCCAAACACCAAATGTTTTAGTCAATTTTCACATTATTTCTGTGAAGGTATTAATTTATACGTATACATCTTATATATTACCTGATGTCTTTAACCAATAGTAATTTTTGTACATTATCACAGGCTGTACGTTGTGAAGTATTCTTCAAATGTACGATATCTAATAATGATTACCTATTGAGTTTCATTTATCTTTTCAGGTGGCTAAAGGAAGGAAACAAATTGGCCAACGGAAGAAGCATACTGCCTCAAAACTAAAAATCGCTAATTCTGCTTTATTAATGTAGATTCCATTAACTCCTAAGACGGTGGAGAAACAATGACAACATATATTATTACATATATATGCCTGTAATGCTATTCGTGTCCAATAAGGACTGTCAAACGGTTATTCAAATGCATATTGCATGCTGTCTAAGCAACAAATATATTTAATAACATAGGAAAAAAGTTTTCTTTAGATTGAGTCTTTATTAAAACTTAGTATATTGAAATGACTAAGCTTGATTGTGTATAAATCTTGGTTTGCTGTGACTATTTAAATATATTATGCAATACAAAATTTTTCAAACAAAAACACGCAAACTTACTTTGGCCTGCGGGGAGATTCTTAAACTTGGAACAACAAAGTAATATAGACGTAATATATGTACTTACTCCTACATATTATATGACGGCGAAAGTAAGTCGTAATTATACTAAACTTCTTGTCAGAACACGCACTTACACATATATTATGCATCTAAAGCCATACACAACAACATGGTTTTAGGTGCATGCGCACTGCTGGACGCAAGCTGTGGACTTTTATGGGCTGACATCGATTTTTTGTTCATAAGGACCCTTAGGTAAAATAAAAACTTATTGGTCGATTATTGTTTATAAAGTCGCAGCAAATCGCTATATTGCTAACATTTTCACAAGAACTGTTAGGCCTTAACGATAATAAGAGCCTGAACTTTCTTGGTAGTATAAATTACGATAGTGTAAAACATTGTATTGTAAAATATATAATATCTATGTATTTATATATATCTTGTGCTTATGATAGCAAGGGACAAGGGATTACGAAAAATCTCGATTTTCATTTTCGTCTAAACGTTAATAAAATATAGTAGGCATTTGTAATGTTGTAAGAATCCACCATAAGATTAAGTATATTCAAGAAGTTAGAGGAAGAAGTAATTTTAATTTTTTTTTTGAATATTGCTTCCTTTTTTGCGCTAGATACCGCAAGAGTTATTCATTTTTGTTTAATTGTCACTAGAAATTAAACTTGAAATATACTTTTAAATATGTACTTGAAATATGAAAAATAATAAATAAATATTAGCCTGTAAAAGAAAATTGTGTTTTATTTGAAGCTTCTGTATCTCAAAAGGAAAATAGTATGTCCGTCTGTTCGTCAGTAAAGACAATTTTTTCAGAAACTTGATGAAGTATCAAGTAAGTGCAATCATATGACTGTCATTAATGTAACATTTTGATACTCTTAAACTCATCAATATACTCTCTGATGATTTATAATTATGAAATTTGGGCGAGAAGCAAGATCTTCTGCACAATTAAACCTCAATTAAAGGAAAAACTTACACGTACCATGCTGCAGATATATTATGGTTGTAACACAAATGAGTCGGCTCGACCGGGGAAGGACGCCCTCATAGCATACAAGTGTAAAATAGCAGCTTAATGCTTTCGTATGGTGGTGTAAAAGTGTAGACCTTTTTTACAGGAAACTAGACATTCCATTTTAGGCCTCGGACGTGACAACGCATCTGCATTTTCATTCTTAATCGAGGAGGATCTTATGGACCACAGCATCCACCTATCATCAGGAGGGCTGTGCTCGTTTTTATTCTATAAAATAAATAAATAAAATCATTTTATGTGTAGTCATATCACATGAAAATATTTTTTGCGATTACAAACATACCTTCGCAGTTGGCAGTCGACTGTGTGTGATATAGATCGATGTATGAGAGAATATTTTTTTGCATTACAAAATTAAGTTTGTCCTTCAATGAGACACCATGAAATAAATAAACACTTCTTAGTAACGATTTTACGTATTAAAAAATATGGAAGGTATTAGCCATAATCTATGGTATTAGCAGTAAATACAATATATCACCAAAATAAATCAAGTATGCAAACCCGCCTACAACGATATAATATGGCAGCCTCGCTACAACATCTATTTATTGTTTGTACTAAAACCACGACGAGCAGAATAAAGGCAAGGAATTACGATTTGTGGAATGACCCTAAACTAGTTACTTGCGCAGGAGGTACATTAGGGGCATGCATTAATTACGTGAGCATGAGGCGATTTTGACTATTTTTCTACCCTAATTCCTCCCTCAGGTGAGATATGGCTCGACCCCACACTCCCTTCCAAATTTCACGTAAGATTTTTCAAAATGCGTATTTTTTAGTGTAAATACGTTAATCAATGCTTGATTGCGTTGAGTTTATTTAAAAAAAAAAAACAACTTGCTTAATTATTTTTGTGATACTGGAATTATTAATAAGGAATAATTATGTTACTTAATTTAACCCAAGTTTCTCGAAATTTACAGTTTCTTGCGGGAAAAAAAGGTGATATTTGCCGAGACGCTCCCTCTTTCCCACGTGAGATTGGGTTCGACTCCCCGTAAACACTTTACGTAATTAATGGACGCCGCCTTTGTTTTTTTTTTAGAGAATTTGATAGATTACCGCAGTTAGGATTTTTTTGATACCTCATTAGCGCAGTGGCTAAGGATTTGGCTGCGGCGCAGGGGGCTATGGGTTCGAATCCTGCACGGAACAAGTGTGTATCACAAATGATTGTTTCGAGTCTGAATATTTGTACATGTGTTTACTTATGTAATTACGTATGTATGTTTTGTACGTGGTAGAGCCATGCCGTAGCTATATTAGTAGTATAGTTGTATGGGTCGGCTCGACCGGGAAGGACCACGCTCTCACAGAATACCAGCGTAAAATAGCAGCTTAACGCTGCTGTGTTTCGTATGGTGAGTGTAGAGAACCGGAGACCCATTTTACTGGAAAAGAAGCATTCCATCTTAGTCCTCACGGGTGACGACGCATCTGTATTTTGATTCTTCATTGAGGATAAATGTGGATGTCTACGGGTCACAGCAACCAACTTACCATTAGGTGGACTGTGTGCTCGTTTGTGACCCTATCCTATAAAAAAATAAATAAATAAATACATATTTTATGCGGTTACAATATTATTACATTATTGGAATACTGGAAATGAGGCATTCCATCTTAGTCCTCACGGGTGACAACGCATCTGCTTTTTGATATGTAATAGAAGACATATGTAGAAGTTTATGGGCCGCAGCAACCACTTACCATCAGGTGGACTGTGTGCTCGTTTGTCACCCTTATCTTATAAAAAAAACCTTTGTTATAAGAAAAAATACTAGTGAAGGGCTAATGTTCCATTAAAAAAGCATTTCAGAGACGCAAATTCAGTTAATATAGTATGTATTTAATTATTCCGAGTTCAGAATTACATCCCAAGGTATCTGTATAAGTGTTAGAGGTCCTGGGTTGAAAACCTATCCAATTAGCACAAAACGTTGTACAACGATTGTATATTTTCAATTTTTAGTGTGTTTGGTTTATTATGCAGTCTTATGTATTCCCTGCGTTTTAGTACCAAGAACGCTGGCTGCGTTGTTTCACTGTAGGTATGTCTTTAAAGCCTTTAGGCAAGAAAATGCCAATTAATCTTATGATTGATATTTAACATGTTCAATGTTATGTTGGATGTTTGTCTTTGTGAAATTTATGCATATAAACTGCCCCCACGATACAGGAGAAAACCCGAGTGCGGAGGTAACGTTTTTTAAAAAAAATTAAAACATGTCTCCTGGAAATACATAAAGTTAAGACATTTTTAACCTTTTAGTATAATATAACCCTTTAAAAAAACACACACACAGACTTATTTATTACTAAAACTACACAACATAATATGAAAAATTTCAATATAATGATGGCCACTCACGGTCAGTTAAACTGATCAGTTTAACTGACGTACATCCAAAAACTGACCGTGAATGTGAAATCTTAAGGTCTCTTCCCACTACACCGTATCATACCACGACCGTGCTAGGAACGTGTCAGACAAATAAATATTATTTGTATTGAAAAGTATGACATTGTTCCCACTAGACCGTTCCGTCACCGACCAACACCGTCGCGTGCCATGCACGGAGCGTCAACAAATGTCGGCGAGAATATTTTGCCGGTGCTGACACGCTCTGTGCATGACACACGACGTTGCCAAGCCGCTGCGCGCAGGCGTCGAGCCGGCGAGTATACGGGTTGTAAACGCGTATGATGACCGTTATATAGGCGTTGTGCTTTTTGTTTTCTTCTTCTTCCTCATCCAATATTAAAGCAATCATCGCCAGTTGTCTAACAGTTAATTTTCTGATAGCCATACCTATTTTACAATTTAAAAATTTGGTAGCACTCCAAGACGTCCACGCAACACTGTTACGCATTAGAGAATGAAACAGATTCCTATTGGTTTTGGTGGATGTTGCATACGGGTATCATATCTTCCCGTGGGTGTCGTAAAAGGCGACAAAGGGAAACAGGCAGGAGATGGGCAGCAGCATCTTCCTGATAACAGCAAAATACAATAAAAAAACTGCGGTTGCCAACCCGCTCGCCAAGCGTGGCAACTATGGCAAATACCCCCTAAATGGATAAAGTTACAAAGAGACGGCCCCCAGTCTCCGGCGGCCCTGCTATTCCTGGCTACGGTGGGGCAGGGTGTGCTAAGAATCTCCGGTGGAGGTTCGGTTGCCACCTACGACGACTCGACCTGGCAACATATAACGCACGCACCCTGAGACTGACGAGAAGATCCTGGAGCTGGAAGAAGAGATAGACAAGTTGCGCTGGAATGTCATAGGATTATCCGAAGTTCGAAGAGAGGGGGAGGACACGGTAATCCTCGAATCCGGCAATTTGTTCTATCACCGGGAGGGCGACCATCTGTCCCAAGGAGGTGTCGGATTTATCGTCCACAACTCTCTCGTTATCATTTTCATACATTTATAATTTAATTTGTTTAATAAATATACTAAATTATAAGCTGTGTAAATCATTTTAAGCAATAAGCATCGATATATCGCTGATGTATCCGACATATAAAACTCCTATATTGATATATTTATAATTATCGATATATTGAAAATCCATTATTTTAAAAATATCAACAGTCCTAGTTTGAACTGATCAGTTGGAATGA